TCACACACAGAGCAGGGCCCATCAGGGGGTTGAGGAGCTCCCCCCTGTCCTCACCGAGTATGACTGATAGGGGAGTTGGGGCACCGCCCCCTGTCACACACAGAGCAGGGCCGATCAGGGGGTTGGGGTGCCGCCACTGACACACACAGAGCAGGGCCTGTGGGTGGGGGGGTTGGGGCACCGCACCCTGTCACACACAGAGCCGCAGAGCGATCGGGGGTTGGGGAGCTCCCCCCTACCAGGCACAGAACAGGGCCGATCAGGGGGTTGGGGCACCTTCCCCTGTCAGGAACAGAGCAGGGCCGATAGAGAGGTTGTGGCCCCGCCCCCTGTCACACAGAGCCGCAGGGCAATCGGGGTTTGGGCGCTGCCCCCGTCACGCTGATCCCGGTGCCGGGAGGCATATTACCCTTTTACTATATAGAATAGAGGCCTGGTGCATGGTTGGGGGCTGGCTGGTTTGCCCTGAAGGGTGTCCTGGATCAGGGTGAGGGTCCCCACTGGGGTGCCTGGCCAGCCTGGATGAGGGGATGATGGCTGTTTGCAGCTGGTCACACACCCTTCAGGGTGGGGGTCCCCACTGGGGTGCCTGGCCAGTCTGGGTGAGGGGCTGAGGGCTGTTTTCAGGCTGGGACTGAAGCTCCCAACTGCTCCTTTTTTTCTTTCTTTTTTTTTATTCTGGGCCAGCTTTAGCCTGGTTCCAGCTCTGAGGCTCAGCTGCTGAAAGCAGGTATCTGGTTTGTTTAGGTTCTATAATTGAAACTCTGTATCAACTCCAGCTCTGAGATCCCAGCTTGCTGAAAGCTGGTTTCTGGGGTTTTGTTTAGCTTCTATATTTGTAACTATGTTTCAAACTGCAGGCTCAGAGGCCGGCAAGGCAGGCGGGGAATATTGCAGTCCTCCATCACTGAACCAAGCAAGCCTCATGTTCAGTTTAATCTGCCTGGCTGCTGGCCACTATCTTGGCTGGCAGTTAATTTGCATATCACCCTGATTAGCCAATGGGAAGGGTAGCGGTCGTACGCTAATTACCATGTTTCTCTTTTATTAGATAGGACTAGATGTTTACTGCAGGTCTTTACTGCAGGTCTTTAACACACACTAAATATATAAAACTGGAAACTGCCCAAATTGCCAATAGCAAAACAAATTTAAATGGTATTTGTTAAAGGATTTTAATAAGTGATAATGCCTATGGTATAAGGTTAACTTAAAAAAAAAAAAAAAACCCAGGATCTAAAATAGTACACAGGCCTGGCCAGTGTGGCTCAGTGGTTGAGCATCAACCTATGAACCAGGAGGTCACAGTTTGATTCCCAGTCAGGGTGCATGCCCAAGTTGCAGGCTCCATCCCCAAAGGGGGTTGGGGGCATGCAGGAGGTAGCCAAGCAATGATTCTCTTTCATCACTGGATGTTTCTATCTCTCCCTCTCCCTTCCTCTCTGAAATCAATAAAAATACATATATTAAAATAAATAAATAAAATAGTACACAGAATATTATAGCAACATTTTAAAACTATACTTGCATAGAAATTATATAAAGGAAGTACACTGAATTGTTCATTATGTTTATCTTGGAATCGTTGAATTATAAATGTCATTTTCTTCTTTGTACTTACCTGGATTTTCCAAAATTCATATGTGTGATTCTTTAATAAGGAAAAATGCTTAATGAAAATAATAGCAAGTTCAGTAAAAATCAGTCAACATTCTATCTGAAGGCCAAGTACTATGTAAATGTCCAAGTGCTTTGAACAAATAAATTTATACCTCAAGGAAACTGCTCTCTACTCAGGAGATCCTGTGGTTCTGTAACCAGACAGACTGGTTCACAGCCTATCTCCTGGCCAAACGACGATGGAGGTAGGCAGAAGCATAGAGAGCAGGTAAGGAATGATAAAAACTATCATCGTTGCTGTGTTCGGTCAGGGGAGCCCTAGTAATCATTTTTCTCTAATTTCCAAACAATCTCTAATTTCAGAACAATCACATATATTAAGGGTATGTGTTTCAAGAAACTTTTGTTTCAGTTGCATGTACTTCTACTGGGTAGTGGTGTAAAATGCATTTTTGTTTTTGTGGTTTGTTGTGGCTAAAAAGAGGAGGAGAAGAAGGAGGAGGAGGAGGCAGAAGAGGAACAAGAGGAGGAGGGGGAGGGAGAAGGGGAGAAAGTCATTTGCTTAAGCCTTCAGGAATCTATGTTCTTAGCATGAAGGTTCATTGACAACCTGCCAGTCCTCAAGTTTAGTAACTCTCTGAAACAAGATTGTTACCTGCCAGAAATTAAAATGTCAGCTATTTCAAATTTCTTACATGCCATCCAGCCAAAATGGTGTATAGGAACCCCTGTTTCAGATTAAGCCCAAGGCATGCCAGGCATCCATCATGAGGCCAACCCACATCTAGGTCTGGGGGTAGAGGGTAGTGGAGCAACTTGATGGTTAAGTGGGAAGATTGTGCTAACAGGCAGTTTGAGAGCTTGCATTTGAATCCTGGCTCTGTTGTTTATGAGCTAAATAGACCTGGAAAATTACCTGATCTTTCTGGACCTCAGTTTCCTCACCTGTAAAATGGGGATGACAATAGTAATGATGTCAGTAATGCTGAAGGATGTAATGTGCGTGTCAACTTCTGAGTGCATATCCAGCACAGAGTGAGCTCAAAATAAATGCTTGCTATCGCTAATATATCATCCAGAAGACTGTCCCACCATTTATACTCCCATTTATCTTCATTGGGATAAGAAAAAAACACGTTGCTTCCTCCTTGTGAATCACTCCACTCCTCCTCCATCACCTTTCACCAAATAGTTCCATGTTCTGATAGGAAGTGTCCCTGACAGCCATTTCATAGGTACCCAGAAAAGCATTCTGCTGATTTCTTTGGGTAATAAACCATTCAATTTCTAGCTGATTTGCTACCTTGTCTCCTTAATCACCTGGCCTCATCAATCACATTTCCAATGCTTAAAGAATGAGTTTACAGACAACCCAAACTTGCAGGGAAGTCTTTGAAGTTCCTTTCTTTCTTTTGACTGCTAACCAATGGTCTTCTAATCAAGGATTTATTCATTCTAAGTTCCCTGTAAGGTGTTTACTTTAAGGTTCCCCATTTTTCATTCATGGGCGTGCACAGTTCTAATTTATCTATAATTGGGTGGCAGCAGTTACTGTTTTCATTTTCACTGTTCACCTCCCCTCCGAACTCTGCTTGAACTGCATCACTCCTCCGTGGGGGACCTTTCTCTCTCTTCCCCCACCGGGTTCTATTCATGAGCAGGTGGCCCAGTGGGAATTACAGGGCGGGTGTGGCACTGAACCTGCTGTCTGCTTCCCTCTCTGGGTTTTGCATCTGTGAAATGAGACAGCAAGGTCACATATCAAATACTTTTCATGGGCGAGGCAGAGGTAGATAACATTTTAAATAAGGGTAAAGGTTCAGTGTAATACAATAGGGTTGGAAGAGAGAGTCAAACTGTAAATCACAAGTTCCAACTAAAGAAATAGCCATAATTCAGCCATAATACGGTGTTGCCAAGAGAAAAATATCAGCCAGTATGGCCAGGTCTTCCAATTTTTTATTCCCAAAAGAAGCCTGAAATCTGAATGGTTATGTAAAACACTGGAATTGTTTAAATGCTGGGAATCAATAATCCTATATAATAAAAGCATAATATGCTAAGTGTCCGACCCATCAGTCGACCATTTGGTTGACTACTCGACCAGTTGCTATGATGCACACTGACCACCAGGGGGCAGATGCTCTGACCGGTAGGTTGGCTTGCTGCTGAGGTCCGGTGATTGGGACTGAGCGAGAGGACCAGACACACCCTGAAGCCCTCCTGTGGTCCCTTTCCAGCTGGCAGGCCCTCATAGACCCCAATTGGGACTGGGTGAGATGGCCCGATCAGCCCTAATTGCCTGCCAGGCTGAGGGACTCCATCTGTGCACAAATTCATGCACCGGGCCTCTAGTAACAGTAATAATAACACAACAATGTTCAAGCAAACAAAGCCAATTGTAAGTTGGTGGTGGTCTGCGCTCTGCTTTTGGGCTCAGGTCTCATTGGAAACTCCTGAGTTAGATGACAGCCAAAGTCCCTATTTCACAAACGTCATTCTACAGCTTTACTGCACTCCATGGCTTTCCCCTTGCTGTGGTTTCTGTTTGAGGAAGTGGCCCTCTTGCCCAAGAATATTGCTCCCACCTCTCAGCCTAATGTTGAGATCAGAATCTCCTAGTAATCCTTATTCATCAAACTTTATAGGTTTCTTTTTTCCTCAAGATTTCCCGCTCAGGTTCCTATTTCCACAATAAAGGGAGAGAACATTTATAGGGATAATTAAAATCTAGACAATCCCAGACTCTCCTGTCTGGCTTGTTATATCAACCTTTTTCCTGAAATAAAATGTTGAAAAGCAGACACATTGGCCAACATATTTCAATTCTTTTGCCAATCCTTGCACACCATCTGGTGGCAGAACTATCTGCTTAAAACAAGTGAAATGCTCAGTGAAGAAGGAAAATCAGGTGAATCGGATGAGGAGGAAAGAGCTGGGAAGACTAGAAAAAGAGGGACAATAAAGTGAAAAAGAGGAAAGAGGTGGAAATGGAAGTTATGAACAATTCACAAATCAATTTGAGAATTAGCTAGTGGCCATTTATGAAAAACATTAAAGAGCCTCCTATAAAGAAAATTCCGCATAACATCGTCTGTTATCCTTCCACCTATATGCACCACAGGGTTATTGAAGGAAGGGTGGATAGATGGGTAGTTATACTGATAAAACATGATTAGCAGCTTGTGGGGGGTGAACTGCATCACCTAAAATTTATGTGTTGAAGTCCTAACCAACCCCTGCCCCCCAGTATCTCAGACTGTGACCTTGGTCATTAGAGGTTAGTATGAAGTCAAACTAGAGTGGGCTAGGCCCCTAATCCAACAGGGCAGGTATCATTAAAAAAAAAGGGGGGGGAATTTGAACACAGATATGCTCACATCGACAGCACCCTGTGAAGATGAGGGCACAGCCAAGGAATGCCCAAGGTGGCCAGCAAAGCCCCAGAGCTGGGAGAAAAGCACGGGGCAGATTCTCAGAGGCCCCGTGGGAAGGACGCAGCTCTGCTGAAACCTTGATGTTGGACTTCCAGCCTGCAGAACTGTGAAAGGATAAACTTCTGTTGGTTAAGTCACTCAGTTCCTGGCATTTTATTACAGCAGCCCTAATGCACAACTGGTCTCTGGCACTGAATTTTATGTCTTTTTTTTTTAATTGCAAACATCGTCATCATTGTTTTCTATGTTTACAATTCAAAATCATAAAACCAAGTCCTCCACATTCCAGAGATAAAGTCAGCAGATTCCATTCAAGTTAGCAAATATTTATTCAGCGTCTAGCACAGTGAGGTATTTAAAATGAAATAATCCACCCAGCCAGTGTTGCTCAGTGGTCGAGCATCGATCTATGAACCAGGAGGTCACAATTCAATTCCCAGTCAAGGAACGAGCCTGGGTTGCTGGCTCGATTCCCAGTGGCGGTTGTGCAAGACGCATCTGATCAATGATTATCTCTCGTCATTGATGTTTCTATCTCTCTCTCCCTCTCCCTTACTCTCTGAAATCAATGAAGATATATTGAAAAATGAAAAATGAAATGAAATGAAATAATCCCTCATACCTGGACTCATAAAATGCTAACATTAGAAAGGACAACAGAGCTGATTGGGTGCAAACTGCCTCCTCTTAAGATAAGGACATGCAGACTCAGAGAGCTGGTGGCTGGACCCATGGTGGTGTAGTGAGCAAGCAGCAGACTTAACATGATCTCCTGGCTCCCAGCCCAAGGCTCTTTGTATTTGGCACCTTAAGCCACTTTTTGTTTTCTGGCAAAGCTAAAACTACCACTTTTATTCATTTTTTCCCATGTATGCAAATAATTATAACCAGGCAAGTCTTATGCTAACACCAGAGACCTACTTATATAATGGTTGACATGTGTTGAGAGTGTTCCACTTTACAGGCACCCCATTTCATCTTCATTAAAATGGGTAAGAGGTAGGTAATACTATTACCCCCATTTGATTGATAAGAAAACTGGAGCCAAAGACAGTTAAGTACTTTGCTGCGGGTCAATCAGCTAGAAGGTTCCAGATACGGGCTTTTGTTCTAGAGCCTGCTCTTTAACTGACTATGCTACGTTGCCTCTTTAAGAAGGAGCAAAGACAGACTTGGGCACCAACTAGACTGGCTTCACCCACCTTTAAAGTCAATATGATATTGAACCATCTTTACAACTAGAAGGTATTATTTTTTATTTAGCCAATTAACTGCCATAAGCGTCTATAGATGCAAGTGGAGAACCTTTTTAAATTACATTCAAAATATCGTGGCAGTTAACTGGTTAAATTGGAGTGACATTGGTTATTAAGATTATATAAATTTCAAGTACATACTTCCGTGATACATCATCTGTGTATTGCATTGTGGGTCCACCGTCTGAAATCAAATCTTCTGTCACCATATATTTGAAGTTCTTTACTACCCCTCTGCCCCTCTTCCCTCTAGTAATCACCATACTGCTGTCTGTGCCTGAGTTTTTGTTTGTTTTTCTTGTCTTTTCATTTGTTGCTTTCAATCTTATATCCCATATATGAGTGAAATCATATGGTTCTTGACTTTTTCCATCTGACTTATTAGCATGAGCTTTATTCAGTGGATCCATCCATGTTGTTGCAAATGGCAGTATTTCATCTTTTCTTATGGCTGAGTAGTATTCCATTGTGTGTGTGTGCATGTGTGTGTGTGTGTGTGCACATGCCACACCTTCTTTATCCAATCATCTAGCAAAGGACGCATTGGTTGTCTCCAAGTTTTGCCCACTGTGAATAATGCTGCAATGAACATAGAGGTGCATATATCTTTGTGAATACATGTTTTCAAATTATTCGGATAGATATCCAGAAGAAGGGTTGCTGGATCATATGGTGACTCTATTCTTAATTTTTTGAGAAGCCATCATACTGTTTTTCCATAGTGGCTAGAGATTATTTCTGGAAGATCTCCCCACCCTATCCAATACTAGGAGTTTCTGTGCCAATTTTTTAAATGAGCAAAAAGGAACAAAAGGCCTGTGCTTACAGAGATTAAGATAGAAGAAATATTCGGCTAAAGGTAATGACATTAGCACTGAATCAGTCTGGGTCACTACTATTAAATATATAATAGCAGTGACAACAAGATGGGTGAAAAAAGCTTTAAGCAAAGTTTACTGGACTGGCAATTTTTTGCTAGCAGTAAAAAATAATCTGAAGCCTTCTATGTAGTTGAACTAGATCAAATGTGGGCCCTTGTCTCTTCTTATACAAATAAGTGCAATAAGGAACTTGAACTTAGAAAAAAATGGATTGGATATCTCTACCAAGGGTGTATAATGCTATGGAGAGGAAGAGCCATTACTTCCTTTGAAATTATAAAATAACTTCAACAGGCCCTGTATTGGTAGGAGAGTCCCTGGGGTGGGAGGTAAGGAGAAGTATGGTAGGAAAAGAGAGGAAGAAGGTATAGTTGCTGCCTGCTACGCTTTCTTTCTTACTGAAAATGTATTCAGTTTTACCTTTCTTCCTGTCTTTCCTTATTTATTTAATGTATTCATTTAGCCAGTATTTGAATGTCTACCATGTACCAGGCACTGTGCCAAGAGGTGAGGACACCACCAAGAACAGGACAGGCAAGTTCCTATCCTCATGGAACACACATCCTAGCAGAGGAAGATGGGCAATTAAATGTAGAATTACATCCAAGTATGATGTGTTAAAGCAGAAGTAGCACAAGCAGCTATGGGAAAATTAAATAATCTTGTCTAAACTTATCAAGGAAGTAACTTTCAAGATAAGATTTGAAAGATCAAGAGGCTTAGCCAAATGGAAATTAATAGAGAAAAGGGAAGGTAGGGCTAAATAAGAATGATCAGGCCAGCCCTGGCCGGTTTGGCTCAGTGGATGGGGCATTGGCCTGCGAATTGAAAGGTCCCGGGTCAGTGGTTCTCAACCTTCCTAGTGCTGCGACACTTTAATACAGTTCCTCATGTTGTGGTGACCCCCAACCATAAAATTATTTTCGTTGCTACTTCATAACTGTAATTTTGCTACTGTTATGAATCGTAATGTAAATATCTGATATGCAGGATGTATTTTCATTGTTGGCAACCCACAGGTTGAGAACCGCTGTCCCGGGTTCAATTCCGGTCAAGGGCACAGGTTTGGGTTTTGGGCTCAATCCCAGTAGGGGATGTGCAGGAGGAAGTTGATCAATGATTCTCTCTCATCATTGATGTTTCTATCTCTCTTTCCCTCTCCCTTCCCCTCTGAAATCAATAAAAATATAAAAAAATAATAATAAAGTAAAAATAAAAATTTGTATTTTTTAAAAAAAGAATGATCAGTCCGTCCAAGGAAACTGTAGATAAGAAAGTCAGGAGAGAAAGGATACAGTGTCTTCAAAGAAATGAGAAAAGCTCATATGGCTGGTTGACTGGAGAGGAAGAGTGAGGAGAAATGGCAGATGCAAATATAGGATGGTCTTATAAGCTACAGTAAGGAGTTTGGACTTTGGGCTAAGGGTGATGGGAATGAAGAAGCATAAGAAGGGGTGATACATGTAAGTGATGACTACAGTGGCTTCCATCCGCAGGTAGCAGTGAGGACTGAGAGAAGTGGAGGGATTCTAAGCTATTCCAGTAGAGCCAATGGGACTTGGTGAGCTGTGGGTGTGAGAAGGGAAGAAGAGTCAAGAATAATGCCCAAGTGTGGTGGCAAATTTTCTGAGTCAAAGAGCCCAGGAGGACTAGAAGGTAAATGAAAGGAAAGAGCAGTTATGGTGGTGGCAACAGGTTTGAATACTTTATCAGATCAAGTTTAGAGTTCTCTGAAATATAGAGTCTGTCCTCCAACAGAGGCTTAGAATAGAGTGAAGCTGGAGGAACATCCTAAATTATTGGTTCCAATCCCATATTCTTAAATGGGAACACTGAGGCACCAAGACAGGAAATGATGCATTAAGACCACAAAGGAAGTGGGTAAAATTGGGTGTAGGACCCAGGCCCTACAGTGCTTCTCGTGAAGAACAGTCAAACATTTTATCCCTCCCCATTACCTCCCTAAAGCAAATTTGTCCAACTCGGTGAGAAAGGTTAGTTAGTCCTGGGTTGCTTGTCAATTCTTTTTAAGTTCTGAATTAATTAAAAGAGAGCATTTCAAAATATCCCAGGAAAAATACATAATACTGTGTAGATTAGGGGGAATCTCAGTATTTTCCAATAATGAACCATTTTCCAATACTGAATCTTGTAATCAGCAATGCTTATATAAAAGGTCCCAGTTAATGTTAGTTTAACAGTGTAAAAAAAATTAATAGTGATTATTTGCGAGGTCGTTTTAAACACTTGACAGTTTTTCAACATAAGGACATCTAAACGTATTTTCTCATAGAATGTAATGTAAAATTATTAATGGTCTGTTGCCTTTTTGATTCCTAGTTATGAATCCTACCTTTAAAAAATAATGCCATAATTAGAAATTATATTCTTGGGCAATGTGTGGACTGTATTAAAGACATAGTAGTTCTTAAACAACTTTAACAAATAACTTCACCAATCCCAAATGAGCAAAGGCAAACCATTTTAATGGGGTATTTTTCCTGCATTTACTCTGATATGTGTCCAACCTCAGTCTGAAGTAAATTATTAGAAGTTTCATCAATGGTTTCAATAAGGAGCATTTTTCCTGAAGTTTTGATTCCACTCCACTATCAACATTTCTCTCCCCCCAAAAATGATCTTTCTGCAAACATACAGTTCAGGAATATTCTTGAACAACCAATATGTGGATGAAAGTGCAGTAAAACCCTAGCAGGTTTGACTCAGTGGATAGAGTGTTGGCCTGTGGACCAAAAGATCCTGGGTTCAATTCCAGTCAAGGGCACATATCTCAGTTGCAGGCTCCTCCCCAGCCCGGGTCCTAGTCAGGGCACATGCAGGAGGAAACCAATTGATGTGTTTTTCTCTGTCTTTCCCTCTCTCTTCCACTCTCTTTAAAATCAATCAAAAAATATCCTTAGGTGAGGGTTAAAAAAAAAAAAAGTGCAGTAAATAAGCATGTACATG